CGCACGTAAACCTAGTGTAAAATACCTCTGATAGACAATTTTCTTTAGGTCAAAACCTTTTGGGTATCTAGAAAAGGATATATTTTGTAAGGGTTTTATGATAGAACCTTTCCCTAAATTATCTGTTTCAGGTCTGTTTATTTACGATTTTATTGTTTTGAACCTTGGTGTCGTATACGCTTCCACAAACATTATACGCACCCATACACTTACAAACTATCTTCAATACCTATAAGCGAATAAAAATAAAACAAAAAACAAAGTGTCCTTCAGTTTTGACCATTATATACGTATTAAATTATAAGTTGTTCCTAAGTGTAGCATTTTTTATTAAATGTATAAGGTTTCGAAGTTGTAACATTTTGTAGCAAACTGAATAAATAACCTGTAACTTTTTTTGAAAATCAACTTACAGTGAAAGTTTTTTTCAGAAATAAATAGGTAATTTATTCGTTCAAAATTTATGTATGGAAAACTAATGTGAACCCTTAAGGGAACCCCACCCATTCTCGATTTTAATTTTTCAAGATTTTCAATGGGCTGGTAAATCAATACCAATGCTTGTTAAGGTTTGTAGCTTTGCACATATATATTTGAAGATTTAAAAAAGAAGAAAAATAATTTACAAAAATTTTTTGTTGTTGTTTTGTTGTTGTTTTTTGTGATCAAAGAAAAGTCCTTATTTTTGATGGCGGGCATGATAAATATTTTTGGAAAATCGCATAATTTTGACCAAACCCAAGTTAAAAAATAAGGAAGATCTTCACCGATTGGATTTATCCTAGTTCATACGATAGCTATACACTCACAGAGACACGTGTAAAAATTTGAAATCGATTGGGTTATTAGTTTTTGAGTTATCGTGCCCGCCATTCGCAAAAAAATGTTTAGAGAAAAACGCGTTTAAAGTTTGAGAAGCCCTTCAGCCGTCACTTGATGCTGACACAATAAATATGCTATATCTTCAAGAATTCTTGAGATTTTTACTTGAAATTTTGTGGGGACATTCTTGAATTAGTATAGATTGGAATTAAGTCAACAAAAATTTTGACCCCGAGAATGGGGGGGTCCCCTTAAATAAGTAAATTTAGTTAGTTATCGAAAGTTGATTACGGCAGCATAACTACCAAGCAATTTCTTTACCCATCAAATATTATTTATTTCATAAAGAATTTTGAATTTTTTGAAGGAATAAGAAACATGTGTAGGGATCTGTTTATTAATTTTATATTTGTTTGGTACTGCATTGTTATACAATCGTTATCCAGGAGAACTGATATATACAGGAAGTTCCAACATCTTTTAGGCCTTCTCTACCTAATAGATATTCTGTATTTTGTATCTAAAGTCCCTAAAACATCATTTTACATTAAGAAGCGCTGTTCTGAATGTATTCTAAATACCGAAAAGCTTTTGTAGACTTGCTTTGGTCTTTCGAAAGTAATTTACTATTAAAATGACCTTATTGAAAAAAAAAAACAGCTACTTCAGATGTTTTCTGTGGTTTCTGTTGGCCATTAATTTGATATTTGACTACTTTAAACCCATAAACCCTAATAAATTCAATCCAGCTGCAATTGATGCGCCTTCATCAGCAACGTACACAGGATTTCATTTCGGGGGGGGCCCGGCAGTACAAAATGAAAAAATTCGCTGTTGCAAACATAAATTTACTGTGAAAAAAATTCATTTAGGGGGGGGGGGGCCGGGCCCCCAGGGCCGCCCCCCTGCGTACGTCCCTGGCCTTCATATAACCTGACAAAAATTGGGGGCTCTACAAATTCACTTGGGGCTACTCGTTGCTGACTCATAGCCTTTAATATTCTTTATGAAGATTGTATTAGGGAATTTAAATTTATAGTGAACATTTTTAAATTCTTATTTGCTGTTGTTGGAAATTCTGACAGATCTGCCAACTTTGTTGAAATTCATGGAAACGTCTCTTGATTTCAGTTTTCCAAGTACGTCACCTGCGACAATGCGGTTCATAGTGCAATCACAATGACATTAAAGATGAAGACCAAACAAGACTACTGACTACCTGACAGAGATAAAAAACAACGCATTGTTGTTCGGCAAAGATATATCTATGTTTATTTTTTGTTCATATTTTATGATTATCATTTTTTGATGCAAAATTGAAGCAGGGAGTCTTTATAGACGAGCTGAAGCAGGGCGTCTTTATGGACGAGCTGAAGAGAATCTTTAGATACGAGATGAAGAAAGTCTTTACAGCCGAACTGAAGAAAGTCTTTATAAACGAGTTGGAGGGAGTCTTTTTAGACGAGCTGAAAAAGGGAGTCTTTATAGACGAGCTGAAGCGGGGAGTCTTTATGGACGAGCTGAAGCAGGGAGTCTTTATAGACGAGCTGAAGCAGGGAGTCTTTATAGACGTGCTGAAGCAGGGAGTCTTTATAGACGAGCTGAAGCAGGGAGTCTTTATAGACGAGCTGATGCGGTGAGTCTTTATAGACGAGCTGGACGGTATCTTTATAGACAACCTGGAGGGAGTCTTTATGGATCTGGAGGTTGTCTTTATATACGAGATGGAGGGAGTCTTTATAGACGACCTGGAGGGAGTCTTTATAGCCGACCTGGATGTAGTTTTATAGACGGCCTGGAAGGAGTCTTTACATACCTACTGAAGAGAATATTTATAGATGAACTGAAGGGTGTCTCTTTGGACGTCCTGGACTTATTTTTTTGAAATATCATTCTCTCAAAAAAAAAATATTTTGTTTTCGGATTGACTCCCGAAAACAACTAAAAAATTGAAATGTAAATATTAAAAAAACAACAGCATTCGTATAAATAAAAAATAAATGTTTTTTATTAGCGCTGTTGTTGTTGGTGGTGGTAAAAACAAAAGAAAAAACAACAATATTTAAAATAAAATTTTATTATTCAAGGTTGTAAGGCAGGCAGGCAGTCGGACAGGCACATTAAAAACAAAACACCAAACAAATACAGAGAAACGCTGAAAAAAAACAAGAATTTGCTGAATTGCAAAATTGAATTTACGGCGGTATATGGCAGCAGCTGAATTTTCGTGTTGTTGCTGTTGTTGTTCCTTTAGCCGGCCAACACACATTGTCCATTCGTCCCGCCGCCGCCCTTCTTTCATCACATCACACATCGATGGTGTCGATGGATGGATGGGTGTTAGAGGGACGATTCAATGAATCCACCATTGCTGGGCTGGGCTGGGCGACGACACAACTATAACGTTTAGAGGGTGGTGGTGCTGATGTTTTGGATTTGAAAATATTTTTTTTATACGAACATTTAAATAAATATAAAACGTACACATACATACACATTCACCGATCTACTACAAACATTTTTTATTATTGTTTGGAAATTTATTTTTATTTTCCACAAAAAATATAGTACAATGACGGAAAATCGATGTGTGTGTTAGTGTGTGTAACAATGACATACACGATCGCACATCTAAATTATTACTAACGGAAGAAAATATATAGATCAGGGTAGTGAAAATCCCCACCACCCCTAAAGATTTGCTAAGGTTCAGTATTAGAGGAGACCGGGGACCCCAGTACCTCGCCAACACAATTTCTGGGAAACAGAACAGAATCGTTCTGAACCGTCTACACTTGCAAACGTCAGATCTTTTTCTGAAAAAGTCATGTGCATAGGACGGTGGTGTGTGGCTGGTATGGCGATGGCGTTGATGACGGTAATAACTATCGATGGAATGTAAATAAATAAAAATTTATTCTCCATATCGTTGCACCACCACCAACTGTAAGGCGGGCGGTCGGACTGACTGACTGGTTTGACTGACTTTCCAAGCAAACAATAACATTTATACGTAATGAGCGCAATTGTTTTCAATTTTACTTATTGCTGCTGTGCTGATGGTGGAGGTGTTGGTTGGGTGGTTGGTTGGAGGCAGTATTTGAGCCATTCCATCAGAATATGAAAATAAAGCACGAACATGGAAATATGCAGTTTTCATCAGTGCAAGGTTAATATTTTGTTTAAAAAAATATATATTTATATAATTTGTTTGTGTGTTTTGAAAAAAAAGACAAAACAGTATTTCTATATGTGACCTATGACCATATAAAATAATTGTTAAAAATATATCAATGTCCACAAGACAGAAGATACTAGTCTCCCATTGATGATGGAAGTCTTTATAGACTGATGATAGGAAGTTTATTTTTAATCGGTGAGCTGAAGCAGGGAGTTTTTATGGAGTATCTGAAGGCAGGGACTCTTTATAGACGAGATGAAGCGCAGGGAGTATTTATAACCGAGCTGAGAGGAGTATTTATAGACCTGTAGAAGGAAGTCTTCATAGGCGATCTGAATGAAGTCTTTATAGACGATCTGAAGCAGGGAGTATTTAGAGACGAGCTTGGGCTGAAATGTGTATTTATAGGCGAGCTGAATGGAGGCTTTATAGATGAGTCGAAAAGAATCTCTATAGACAAGCTGAACGGAATCTTTATAGACGAGCTGAAAAGGTCTTTGTAGACTGAAGTAAGTCTTTATAGACGGGCTAAAGGGACTCTTTATAGACGCGATCTTTATATATAGACCCAGTAGCGGATCTGTGCGTATTCAGGGTGAGATGAAAAAAACTGCAACCTACTTCAGACTGTCATTTCTAAGCCATTCGTCGGACAGCTGTTAAAATTATTCCAGTGACAGATCATTCCAAAAGCCTTTTGCTGAAAATTTTCCAGAAAAAAATGTTTTTTGTGATGGAATTCAAGCGTGATATTGCGATTTCTTTATATTTGGCTGGAAAACCACATGTGACTATCGTTAGAGCACTCCAGCATTTAAATGTGAATAAAATCCAAGAAGTGCAAGTACTTACACTGCAACAGAATGAAAATACACTAAGGAGTTGCTACCCTTGGCCGAAAGTGGTGCACTGCCGAATTTGGGTTTCTCCGATGAGAAAACATTCGTTGTCCAGCAGTTTGTAAACAAACAAAATGATCGTGTTTACTTGCCAAAAGGTCAGCTGAAAATGTGCACCTTTAGTTGACCACCAGAACTCAAGCGCCGGCCATGGTGATGGTGTGGGCCGCCATAACAGCCGATGGTCGCTCTCCGCTCGTATAAATCGACCGTGGCATCAGAGTAAATGCCGAATATTATCGCGAAAATATTCTGGAGGGTTTATTAAAGCCTTGGGCACGCAAACATTTTGGCCACAGACCTTGGGCATTCCAACAGAACTCAGCACCATCGCACTCAGCGGCACCCAAGAATGGTTACAAAATGAGGTTCCACGCTTAATTTCCAGAGCACAATGTCCACCAATATCCATCTCCGGATACCAATCCGTCGTACTATTGTGTCTGGAGTATTTTGGAAAACAATACCAAAGTGTCGATCACCTAAAGCAAGCGCTTCGCCGGAAAGGGCCAAAATACCGCAGAGCAACATTCGTACAGCGTGTGACGGTTTCATTGTTATAATTCCGACATTTTTTGCTTTCATTTAATAAAATTAAATAAAAATAAAAATTATGGTGTTTGGCTTTGTTGCAGTTTTTTTTTATCTCACCCTGTATAGTATGCTCGTATCATCGATCAGGCTAATGCTCATATATTTGGCTTTTAAGGGATCTTCCATCTGAAGAAACCTCTTATAAGGGTCTTCGAAATAAAAAAAATCGTTTAAACCAGAAAAAAAATTCAGTTGGTGTTGTCGACAGATATATACCCTCAACCTATGGTTTGCGGGTGTCTCCGAAATGACACACAGATGTTTGTATCAAAGAGGTTTAGGATTTAATGTTGATCATATTAGCTTCAACAAAAATTTACAAGTCCATCGTCGGACTTGATCTAGGCTTCGTAAATATAATAGGTTGTACAAAGTTTGGTTCAAATTGGAGAGTCCGTTCGCATGATATTATGAAAGGTACCAGAAAGTGTGGACCAATCGGTCCCATCTTCGGACCAAATATAGGCTTGGTAAAAATAATAGGTTGTGTAAGATTTGGTTCAAATCTTATATCCCATTCGCCTGATATTGCATTAATAAATATTGAAAATGTTAACCCTTTGTTCGGAAAATGCCAAAAGGGGTAGATCGATATTCCCCATCTTCGAACTTAAACTAAGTCTGGTAGAAACATTACGATGTGCAAAGTTTGGATGAAATCGCTGACTTCCTTCAAAAGTTATCGTGCGCACCAGCCGGCCAGACAGACGGGCGGACATTTGTTAATCGACTCCAAATTGTCTGAAACGGATTTGGTTGGACCAAACATGAGGTCTAAAAACAATATTTCGATGAGGCACATTTTTGCCGTATCATAGGGATAAGTAAATCGACTTTCGACTAATCGATTAATCGACTTTTTGTATTGAAAAGTCTAAAAGTCGAAGTCGACTTTTAATATATGAGGAAATTGTAAAGTCGACTTTTCAAGATCGACTTTCGATTTTCTTCATAAATACTTGGTTTTTTACAACAAAGCTCAAATTGTCCAAAAATTGTACTTTCCGGAACTTTACATTATCTGTTAACAATAATTCATATAAAAAAATCAAATTTTTAGTTTTGCAAAGTCAGTAAAGTAAATTCGATTTTGAATAGTTTTGACAAAATCCAAAGTCCCTTTTTAGTCAAATGCAAAAATCACAGTGTGTAAAAGTTTCTTTTGCGTTTTTTCGATTAACGTATCCCTAGTGCATATACCGTCATTAGCCATAAGGTAGAAAAAAGTCTTGGCAAACAATTTTCTATATACGTCCACGTTTTTATAAATTCCCCACATTAAAATCTAACCGCTATATATATAGACCTAGTAGACCCACTACTTTATATGTTAAACGATTCTATAGTCCTGCTGCTTCAGACTTCTGGAAGCTTCTATCTATATAGAGTAAATTATTCTATACTCACAGATAATCGATTAGGCTATTGCTCATAACTTAGGCTTATAAGGGATGTAGAAAACCCTTATAAGGGTCTACCAAATAAAAAATCTCAAAAATATATCGCTGAAGGCTATTCTACTATGGCTATGGAACGATCGGTAGCTTAACCGACTAATGAAAATGAATTAATTTTCTCTTTCCTTTGGCGTTCTGAAAAAGTTCTCCGACAGAAAAGGAATGCCTGGCACTTGTTACGGTCAATTGACTGACATTCACATTAGTGGAGTCAGTAGTCCAAACGGACACTCACACAGACACTCATTCAGTAACATACAGAACACATGTGTTCAGATTGACGATGATGTTGTTGTTGTTCCAATATTCATTGGAATGTGAGAATGTTATAACAACAGTACCACAATCCCCCTCCTCACTCTAGCCACTCTGATCAGCCAATTGTGATCAACTGAATTCCAACGACAAGAGATTCAGATGAATTGCAATGTGAAATGTGCACCACACTTGTTTAGAAGCGGCAGCAGCAGCATCAAGTTTTCATTTTTTTAACTCTAACATTGATCTCAGCCTGTTTATGATCTCCGAACATTTGTTGTTATTGTTCCGCACACAACGACGAGATAAGAACCTCAGAAAAAAGAAAATAAATATTGAATTGTTTTCAGTCTTGTTTTCATAAAGAGGGAGAGTTCTTCCTTAAATGAAAATGTCTTTTTTAATGGTTTCTCCTCCAGCTCTGGTCATAAGTGTGCTCTGTTGGTGGTGGTGCTGTCGAACGAAGACATTAACCAGTCTTGAAACATGTTTCCATTATGGGTTTATTTCTTTTCAATAGCTAAATAAGTTGTAATTAATCGAAAGTGATTTTTAATCACTTGTAGTTGTTGTTGTTGCTTTGATATACTTATATTGACTCTATTAGTGTAGGGCCATTTTTGGCCAATGTTCGTTCAAGTGGTTGTAATGAATATGCCTTGTGGTGTCTTATTTGTTAATGAGTGAAAAGATACCAGGGGTTAAATATGGGCAAATGCACACCTATTCGGGTAAATTAGTTACCATATCGATATATAACATATGGATAATGTAAGGCGGAGGTATGGACATGATGTCACGTTAAGGAATGCAGTCGTGGATTTTGAAATAGTATAATTTTAGTAGGATAAGAAAAAATGTTGGCCAATGATTTTCGTCACCAGAAGATGCTGCTGAAGCGTTCAAAAACCATGTCTTGAAGCTGTCTTAATCAGAGTGGATAATGTCACAGAACTTCTATGAAGCCCTACAAAAACAGATCCACATGAAGTTTTTAATATTTAAAAGCCAATATTCGGCATAATTAGCCAATAGTCATCCATTTAATTTTTATTTTTGTCTTGTTTTTTAACCGATTTTTTTCAGATAAAGTCGAGGATTTTTAGGAGCTATTTTTAGGCTTATAGCCGAGGATTTTTAAAGCATTAAAATATGCGGACCAATATTCATGGATGTTTAAGCAATATTTAGACGATATATTTAAACCGGGAATATTTGTATATCAAATTTGAGGAAGCTTAAAGATTATTTTATGTCTCATAGTCGATAATTTTTAAAGAATATTTTACTGACGATAGAAGCCGTTATATGCCTTATATTGACAACAGAAGCCTTGATATATATTTTATCGACTATAGAAGTCTTTATAGGCCTTCTACCAACGATATCAGCCTTAATAGATCCTAAAAACCTCCATTGCCCTTTTATCGCTTATAAAAGCCTTTATAGGCCTTTCACCGACAATAGAACCCTTTCTAGATCTTATTTCGACAATAGAAGCCTTAATATGTATTTTATCGACGATAGAAGCCTTTGCTTCTTGTGTTTTAAACAACTAAAAAAGTGTCAGTCGGTGTTGCCGACAGATATATTACCTCAGCCTATGGTTTGCAGAGTTATTTCTTTACACAAAGGTTTTATTATTTGCTTAATATAAGGAATACATTTTTATCAAAGAGGTTTCGGATTTAATGTTGATCACTGAATTGATTCAAATCGCAATTCAAATTAAATTCTTACTTTTTTAGCTGGTTTGTGACAGAACATTTGTTCCATAAGCCGAGCTTAAAGCAGGATATTAAAAAGATCACACGACAAACTGTCACCTTGTCTGAACCCTCGTTTATTATTGAAGGGCTCCGACTTTAACTGCTGACCTTGTGCCAGTTAAAATTATCCTGCATAACCGTCATAATTTTGCAGGAATGTCGAACGCAGACATGGCTTTAAACACCTCTGAATGGATACTGCTGTCAATTGCGGCTTTATAGTCAAATATTGAAAATTTTTATCATTTATGTGGGACTTGGTCTAAGCTTGGTAAAGATAATAGGCTGTGCAAAGTTTGGCTCAAATAGGAAAGTCCGTTCACACGATATTATAAAATTAATTTCTAGCACAATTTTGACAATTTTGTGGGGGAGGTATTAGAAGGAGTGGACCGACATTTCACATCTACGAAGTTTAACTGAGTTTGGAAAAATATTAGGTTGTGAAAAGTTTGGATGAAATCGGTTACACCGTTTGAGCCTTCGATGAGGCACATTTTCGCGGTATCAAATTGTTTATACTCTCATTAGCCATATAGGTGAGGGAGGAAAAATTGATAAAGATTTACACGAAGTGGTGAGGGCTATAGAATACAAAATATATACCACTACTGTATTGATTGTGCTTGATATCTTGAAGGGGGCCCTCTCGGTTTCAAAAAATCTTTTCTTTTATTTTTATTTAATTTGAAACCATAACTTCTCATAAATGTCTCCTTAAAATTTCTAGAGAAAATCTCAACTACTCTGGAAGATATAACCGATTGTCAGCATCAAGCGACGGCTTTTTTATCAAAATTGTGGGTTTACGGATGGCGGACACGACAACTTAAAAACTAAAAATCCAATCCGCTCTAAATTTTAACATGCTATTCTGGACCTACATAGCTACCGATCTCTGTCAAGATCTTCCTTATTTTCCTGCTTGTTTTTTTTTTCGAAAAATGTGCGGTTTTCCAAAGAAATATAATTTTCCTGTGTCCTTCGCCGCCATTTTGCTATTGGAAAGTCCATAATCCTAGTTCATACTAGAGCCATATATCTACTCTTTCTAATTCCATGCAGCAGAGAGTTGTATGTGTAAACACGTATCTATTTTCGAATGTTCCTTCAGATTTTTGTCCGAAATTGTGCAGAAAATCGAAAGTTCATTTTTTTCAAGATTATTTAAATCTT